CTCTCCCTTTCTAGGCCCTGAGGGTGTAGAGGAACTCAGACTGTTCTTGTCCTGCAGCTGTGGTTAGTAATGTTGGGCTAGATGTTGGACTCGAACATTGGCCGTTTGTGTGTTTGGCGAACACACAAATGGTAAGGGCGTTCGGGCGGGCTATTCGCCTGGTGCACCCACAATGCACTATGCCCTGGCAGTGCATTGTGATTAGCTAAAGCAATGCACCCAACCACAGGTCAGGTGTAATGCTTTGGCCAATCACGTCACATGCATGATGACGTCACTGTATTTAAAAACGGTCATTGTGGCGCAGCTGTCAGAGGGCAAGAGCTAGTGTCGATAGTGAAGTGGTTTTTTTTTTTCTTTTTTTGGGTCGGCGATGACGGTGGGCATTGTGATTGTTGTCGGTCGGATCTACTTCAGCGGACAATATTTTTTAATTTTGTTTTTAATAAAGGACTTGTCAAAGACTCTCTGCTGTCATTTTTTACAGTACACTTTTTTTTTTGTGAATGGGTTGCGGGTACTTCACATGGGGGTTCAGGATCTGGAGGCCCCATTGTTAAAGGCGGTTTCTAGACTAGCCCCCGCCATTCACATGGGGGATCAGGATCTGGAGCAACCCCCCCCATTGTTAGGAGGAGCCAGGCGGTTTCTAGATTCAGATTAGCCCCCCGCTGTGTACCTTGGATGCTTTATGACCTCTGTTATCCCTACACATGGAGGCGTCCTTGTTTTGACTCCCTTGGGGTAGTATCATTTGCAGCCATCGCAGGGTTGTGTCCTGTCCACAGAAGAGGGATCACCCTTGTAGAGGGAGGCTCCTATCAAAATGGGGACAATTTTCCTGGGCGTTCTGGTGGTGCTCCCAAAGCACACCCTTTTTAATGAACTGTTATGGTTGTTTAATTTACATATGACATTACCCAAAAATCTTGGGTCATGGTAGCATCACTAAAAGTCACCCTTTTTTTATGAACATGTTTTTGAGAGCATGTGGCCTGATATGGTTCAGGAGAGGGGGCTTGCCCATCTCCCCCCTTTCCTGACCTGCCGGGCTGCATGCTGGGATAAAGGTCTGGTATGGATTTTGGGGGACCTGATTACCTCCATTTTAAAAAAAATTTGGCATGGGGTTCCTCTCCAAATCCATACCAGACCCAAAGGGCATGTTATAGACGGGGTGGACCCCTCCCATTTTTTTTTTTTTAATTGAATTGTCTTGCAATGCCCCGCAATTCTTTTTACATTCAGCTGTCAGAGGGGAATCCCGCTGACAGCTGAAACATTAAAAAATGTTAGTAGTAGTTGTGCGGTATCTTGCCGCATACTCAGATGAGGTAAGACACCGCTTTGTGAATTGTCCCAGTTCAAAATTCACAGTCGAACTTTTGTTTAGAGAACACGGGGGTGTTCGGCTCATCACTAGGGGATAGAACTGTTTTCAGGCCTTCTACCTGAGCTGGTTCCTCTCCAAGCTTTGGAGGCTGTCCTGCCCCTGTGGATGGCAGGGTAGTGAAGCTCCATCTTTCAGAACCCCCCCTGCTCCAGGGCTCCCTCCCAGGCTACACAGCAACACCTCTCAGCAATCCATCTTCCAGCAAACTCCCCTGCTAGCATGGCTCTCCCATAGTTATGTTCTAGTCTACCACAATACCAAAGCTCCTCCCTGGATTGGTCAGACTCTCATGAATATGCAGATTTAAGTCTCCACCCTTCCGCCCTTTGGCTTCTGGAAGCTTCAATGGACCTCCGAAGAGAACCAGGTGGAGGCGAAAGAGTCACAACCTGCTAAACCATCCAGCCTGACCTCACCTTGAACCCACAGTATTCAGGCTCGCTCACTAACCATGAGCTAAAAATATAAATTGACCTCACACTAGCCCCTACCTAATATTTGCTACCTATAGGCAGGAGAATATGGCAGAAGGCAGCAAGGGGGACCACCTTTTTTCCAAATGTAAAAATGATCTAGCGGCTATTTAGCCACTCAGAATGCATTGTACATTATTCAGCATTGCCTGATGAAAAAAAAAAAAGTACCAGAGTCATGACTGCAACTGCAGCCATGATAACCCTGGTAGAAACACCTAAACCAGAGGATGTACAGGTGCATCCATAGGAGGCAAGTGGCTAAGGTGTCCCTGATCACCAAACCAGTCATACTGGGAACTCTTTTGTTCTTCAGCCTCCTGTACTTCATGGCCAGTGACCATGACATTTCTTGGGGCAGCCATGTACAAGGAAGCTAAGCTTGTCTGGCTTATAGGAACTGGGACTGCTATAGGTGATGCTACACTAAGCTATATTCCCTGTTCACATTCTCATATACAGGCGAATATTATAGTATATTAGTTTTGACACAATTGGTTGATTTGTTTGATACGCAAAATACAATGTTTGGTATCAGTCCATACACTGAAAAAGTTCCACACACATGGTATCATCATACTCAGGAGGAGTAGCAGAATGTGATTCGGGTTGTAACTCTAAGTATGTCCATGCTCTGTGTGAGAAATATCTTATCAAATTAACAACTTTATGTAAAAAAAAAATTATTTTCATTTTTCAAAAAGTCCTCAAAATACTCACCATGACTCTCAAAACTTGGGTTTCTACTCTTCAAAATGTGGTCATTTGATGGATGATTTTTTTACTGTCCTGGTGCTCCAGGGCCTCCAAAAATGTGATAGGTAGTCAGGAAATTAGATGTATAATTTACTCCACTAGAAAGCCTGAAGGTGCTCTTTGGATTTTGGGCCCCTCTATGTGGTTAGGCTGTGAAAAAGTCTCACACGTGTGGTATCTTTTTACTCATGAGGAGTAGCAGAATGTGTTTTGGGGTGTAATTCTAAGTATGTCTGTGCCGTGTGTGAGAAGTAAATTGTTAAAATGACAACTTTGTGAAAAGAAAAAAAAAACATTTTATTTAATTTATAAATTTTCCAAAACATTGTGACAAAAAAATTACAACTTTAAAAAAACTCACCATGTCTCTTACTAAATACCTTGGATTGTCTACTTTCCATGTGGGAAGGGGGTATTTGTACTATCCTGGAATTTTCTGGTCTCAAGAAATTAGATTTGATATGAGATCATCAGGATGTATTAATTTTCAGATATACTGTACATCTCATAGTTTGTACACTCTATAACTTTCACACAGAAATAAATAATAATATACGCAAATTTGGATTACTTTAACCAAAGAATTGTAGCAGAATATATTTTGGTCTAAATTTATGAAAAAAAAAGAGTATTTATTTGCAAAGTTTTTATAAAGAAACTAAGAAAAACGTTTTATTTTTTTTTTATTTTTTTCAGTATTTTTTTTCATTTATATAGCAAAAAAAACTAGTAATGGTTAAATACCACCAAAAGAAAGCTATATTTGTGTGGAAAAAAAATTATATAAATTTAATATGGGTACATGATTGAGTAATCGTCAAAGTGTGACAGTGCTGAAAACGGAAAAATGGCCTGGACTGGAAGGGGGTGAAAGTAGCAAGGCATCCAACGTACAGAAACAAGCAGCACTAATGCCAGACAATTATGCTAAGCCTAATGCTGCATGAAGATAGGAAAAAAAAAAAAAAAAAATCAGGGGGGCCTGAATAAATAAAAGCAGCAGTTCACAGAAGGTGGTGTGTAGGCAAGTTACATAAACTGTGGCAGTCCTTAAAGCGGAGTTCCACTCTCTCTGTAAAAAAATAACAGTCAGCAGCTACAAAAACTGTAGCTGCTGACTTTTGAAAAACTCACCTGTCCCAAGATCCCACGTTGCCCCCCGCAGCAGCCCGTTTCACCGGCCGTCCTGTATTCCAGGCACCGGCATCTTCAGCGTGGACACCCGGCTGTGACAGCTTGCGACTTCACAGCCGGGTGCCCACTGTGCATGAGCGAGTAGAGCTGCTCTTCCTGAATGGACCATTGTCTTCTGAGACCTGTCACGTGTCCCGCAAGACTTTGGGGAGGGAGAGTAGGAGGACAAATTCCGCTTCCGATCGCCTAAGCGATCAAATTCAGGTACCCGTCGTCCCCCCCCGCTCCCCAAAGGTGCCAATCCTTAATGGGGAGTGGGGGACCAACCAATCTTTAAAGCAGAACTTCCCCTTTTGGGTAGAACTCCGCTTTAAGCGGTTTTCTTCTGCTGGCTATCGTTGGGGCCCATTAAAATATGGTGCGGTTTAAGTTGATTATGAACCTACGTCCAGTTAAGATGTGCTAGAGAGGCCTTTTTGTAGTCTTTGGCTCAGAGTAGTTTAGAGAAAAAAATCTTGAATAGAAGCCGTAGTATAATGCTCTACAGGGTACTGTATATAAGAGATCTAAGTGTGATGGTAAAGGAGTATGGTGGCTAGCCTGATTTTTTTAAAGCACAGTTCTTGCAGAGAGTGTAGATTACAGCACAACAGCCCTCTCAACAGTCCTGTGGTACAGCTGTATGGATAGAAGGGGGCCCCCTCAGTTTCATCCTAAATCCTCCAGTGGTACAGCACTGTGAAAGTGGTGAGCAATCACTCTAGCAAGTCTACAGCAGCAGTGAATGTGAAATGATTGTCAGCTGATAGTGAGCTGTGGTGGCTTTGGCCTCAAGTTTCCCCCTTGGCTGTGGCCCCAAAGATCTAGAAACACTCTTACCATGGTCCATGCTCCTCTGTGTCCAGGGCAGTCTCGTAAAAACCTCTCTGGCCCACCCCCTCAGTCTCATGAGTGAGAGATCTAGTGGGCGCACACAAAAACCCGCAGCTGGCCATATCTAAATTTCATGGATAACATTTCCCACACTCAGGAAGGAAAGCAGCTTTTCCCATTTGTGGCATATCAGATGTACATTTACACTGCACATCTGTATTTTCCACGTTTAGGACAGGAGAATGGCTTCTACAGTGTTGGATCTTTGATGGCAAACAAGGTCTGATATCTGATTTAGCACACTCAGGAAAACTCCCTTGTGTGAATCATCTGATGTCTGTAACAAGTGGACATCTCTGAAAAACATTTCCCGCACTCAGGACAAGAGTACGGCTTCTCACCTGTATGGGATCTCTGATGTTTAACCAGGTCGGATTTCTGTGTATAACATTTACCGCACTCAGGACAGGAATATGGCTTCTCCCCCGTGTGAGATCTCTGATGTATAACTAAGTCTGATTTTTGCGTAAAACATTTTTTGCACTCAGGGCATGAATAAGGCTTCTCCCCTGTGTGAAATCTCTGATGTCTAAAAAGGTTTGATTTGTTTGAAAAACATTTTCCACACTCAGGACAGGAATAAGGCTTCTCGCCTGCATGAGATCTTTGATGTATGACAAGGTTTGAATTCAGTGAAAAACATTTTCCGCACTCAGGACAGGTATACGGCTTCACACCCGTGTGAAGCCTCTGATGTCTGTAAAGACTGGACATCTCTGCAAAACATTTGCCGCACTCAGAGCAGGAATACGGCTTCTCGCCCGTGTGAGATCTTTGATGTATTAGAAGGTCTGATTTCTGTGAAAAAACATTTCCCACACTCAGTACAGGAATATGGCTTCTCCCCAGTGTGAGATCTCTGATGTCTAACCAGAATTGATTTCTGTGAAAAAAACATTTCCCGCACACAGAGCAGGCATGTAGCTTTCCACCCAAGTGAGATCTCTGATGTACAGTAAGACTTGATTCAGAGCTAAACCATTTCCCACATTCAGGACAGGAAAATGTCTCCTCCTCCTGAATTCCAACACCATCCTTCATAGTAGGAGGTTGCTCAAAGCCAGAGGCATTCAATTGTCTATCCACATTCTGAGATCCACCGACCATAGCTGAGCTCATTGTCTTTTCTCCTGCACAACCTCTTGTGATGTCCTTCTCTTCCATTTTACAACCTGGAGATAAGGTGGGTTTCTCAAAAGCATGTCCTGGAAAAATATAAAAACATGATCAATAGATACAATATGAGATTCCATCTAGATCAGATAGATTTTAGTGAGCAGATGATCTCTGTGGAAGTTCTAACCCACTGGGACCCTTCCACCCCTTCGGGCCTTTAGTTGTCCTCCCAGACCACTTATACGTTTACGCAGCCCTATCAGAAGAGCAGGAACCAAGGAGCACTGGGGGGCACATGCTCTTCACACCAGTGTAGACACTGGGTCAAGTAATCTCTGAAAATCAAGAGGTTCGAAGTTCAGACTTGCAGAGCCTTTAGCATAAAACGAGTGACCATAGGCCTTCTGGGGACAAGGGAGCTTTCAGATTCTGAAAAGACCCTCATTGGGCCAGGGTTGTGAGGAAATCGGCCTTGAAATTAGGGATAAGGCTCTTTACCCCACTGGCAAGGTGCACCCCTCATATTGAGGGCATTTGGCCTTCTATGGTATGGGGGGGTTGGTGCATGCTCATCCTCCCCCATTTCCAGGGTAGGCAGACAGCATACTCAAATAAGAGTCTGATTTTGAGGAGGATCCTTTTTTTTTTAACCAAGGGTTCCCCCTAGTAGAAAATGGGGGGGACCCCACAACACGTTTTGTTTGCCTGAGGCCCCATTAAAAAGCATCCCAGGCCCAAAGCGTCAGGCAGTATTCAGTGGTTGTTAGGATGCCAAAAAACATGCCAAATTCCAACCAAACCTAAAGCCCATCGCTTCATCTTGCCTTTCATTCTGGATTGACTGTAGAGATTTATGTTAATATTTTGCTATAATTCTGATATAAAAGAAGCAAGACTAAACTATGAAAAGCACAATCTGTGTTATCATATCAGAACTACGGTGCCTTAAACTGCCAGCTGACCCAAGACGCCACATACCGTATTTTTCGCTCCATAAGACGCACCTGACCATAAGACGCACCTAGGTTTTAGAGGCAGAAAACAGGAAAAAAAAATTCTAAACCAATGGACTGCAGACATAGTACAGGAGATGACCAGAGACTGCGGACACAGTACAGGAGATGACCAGAGACTGCAGACACAGTACACCAGAGATGACACAGGAGATGACCAGAGACTGCGGACACAGTACAGAGATGACCAGAGAGAGTACAGGAGATGACCAGAGACTGCGGACACAGTACAGGAGATGACCAGAGACTGCGGACACAGTACAGGAGATGACCAGAGACTGCGGACACAGTACAGGAGATGACCAGAGACTGCGGACACAGTACAGGAGATGACCAGAGACTGCGGACACAGTACAGGAGATGACCAGAGACTGCGGACACAGTACAGGAGATGACCAGAGACTGCGGACACAGTACAGGAGATGACCAGAGACTGCGGACACAGTACAGGAGATGACCAGAGATGCGGACCAGGAGACTGCGGACACAGTACAGGAGATGACCAGAGACTGCGGACACAGTACAGGAGATGACCAGAGACTGCGGACACAGTACAGGAGATCACCAGAGACTGCGGACACAGTACAGGAGATGACCAGAGACTGCGGACACAGTACAGGAGATGACCAGAGACTGCGGACACAGTACAGGAGATGACCAGAGACTGCGGACACAGTACAGGAGATGACCAGAGACTGCGGACACAGTACAGGAGATGACCAGAGACACTGCGGACACAGTACAGGAGATGACCAGACACTGCGGACACAGTACAGGAGATGACCAGAGACTGCGGACACAGTACAGGAGATGACCAGAGACTGCGGACACATAGATACAGAGAGATGACACCGGAGGAGTGCAGAGACTGGGACAGTACAGGAGATGACCAGACACTGCGGACACAGTACAGGAGATGACCAGACACTGCGGACACAGTACAGGAGATGACCAGAGACTGCGGACACAGTACAGGAGATGACCAGAGACTGCAGACACAGTACAGGAGATGACCAGAAACTGCGGACACAACACAGGAGATGACCAGAGACTGCGGACACAGTACAGGAGATGACCAGAGACTGCGGAAACAGTACAGGAGATAACCAGAGACTGCGGACACAACACAGGAGATGACCAGAGACTGCGGCACAACACAGGAGATGACCAGAGACTGCGGACACAGTACAGGAGATGACCAGAGACTGCGGAAACAGTACAGGAGATGACAGGAGACTGCGGACACAGTACAGGAGATGACCAGAGACTGCGGAAACAGTACAGGAGATGACCAGAGACTGCGGACACAACACAGGAGATGACCAGAGACTGCGGACACAGTACAGGAGATGACCAGAGACTGCGGAAACAGTACAGGAGATGACAGGAGACTGCGGACACAGTACAGGAGATGACCAGAGACTGCGGACACAGTACAGGAGATGACCAGAGACTGCAGACATAGTACAGGAGATGACCAGAGACTGCGGACACAGTACAGGAGATGACCAGAGACTGCGGACACAGTACAGGAGATGACCAGAGACTGCGGACACAACACAGGAGATGACCAGAGACTGCGGACACAGTACAGGAGATGACCAGAGACTGCGGACACAGTACAGGAGATGACTGCGGACATAGTACAGGAGATGACAGAGACTGCGGACACAGTACAGGAGATGACCAGAGACTGCAGACATAGTACAGAAGATGACCAGAGACTGTGGACATAGTACAGGAGATGACCAGAGACTGTGGACAGTACAGGAGATGACCAGAGACTGCGGACACAGTACAGGGGATGACCAGAGACTGCGGACACAGTACAGGAGATGACCAGAGACTGCGGACACAGTACAGGGATGACCAGAGACTGCGGACAGTACAGGAGATGACCAGAGACTGCGGACAGTACAGGAGATGACCAGAGACTGCGGACAGTACAGGAGATGACCAGAGACTGCGGACAGTACAGGGGATGACCAGAGACTGCAGACAGTACAGGAGATGACCAGAGACTGCGGATATAGTACAGGAGATGACTGCTGACCTTTGGGGAGGGGGGGGGGGGCGGGTACCTAAATTTGACAGGTACCTGCTCTTACTTCTGCGGAGTTGTTCTTTGGTTAGTGGGACCTTACCTGTTCCTCTATCCAGCGGCGCGCTGTCTTCCCGGCTTCTGTAGTGTGGGCGCTTGGCTTGACAGCCGGGTGCCCAGTGCACATGAGCGAGAAACGCTGCGCTTTGTGATTGGTCCGGCGGCTTCTGGGACCTGTCATGTGTTCCAGGTGCCGCTTTACCATTCAAAAAGCGCACCGCTTCTTGCGCATGCGCACTGGGTACCCGGCTGTCACGCACACTACAGAAGCCGGGAAGACAGCGCGGCGCTGGATAGAGGAACAGGTAAGGTCCCGCTGCAGAGCTGAGCGGCCGGCCCGGTATTCTGACACGGCGGCGGTGGAAATACCGGTCCGGCCGCTCCATATTCGCTCCATAAGACGCACTGACATTTTCCCCCCTTTTTTGGGGGGAAAAAAGTGCGTCTTATGGAGCGAAAGATACGGTAAATCATTGGAGCCAGGTACATGACCTACTGCAGGCAAGTTAAAGACCATTTTCCAAAGTGCAGTAGTTGTGCTGTTGCGGTCTTCTCCTCCAGCCAGCAGGGGTGGAATTAAATCATTCCAAGCTCAACGACTGTAATGCAGACTGCCCAGGAACACTGGGAGATGTAGATCGAGACAGCGGCCATACTGATGAGATGCTGCCTTGCCAAACTACAAATCCCCTCGGCCTCTGTGTGGCAGAAGAAACTAGGAGGGCTTTATATTCTTTGCCCGAGAAAGGTCCGCACTCTTGGCTCCATGGAGATCCAAGCAGAGACCTGTTGGAACTACCCAGCCTGGGAACAGGCCTATTCGAATCACCACCACCACCTCAGGAACCTGCTCATGAGGGGGGAACCCCTTCCACTGCAAGATTTCAGTGTCTCTGGAGGAGTTGGTGACCCACCTACACTTAACACCTGACATACTGCTAAATACATCAGTGGTTCATATATGAACTCGGTGTAGAGCTAGTCACCCTGAGGTCATCACAGAGGACAAGGGGGAGTTCTTTACGTCTGGAGGAAAAGAAATTTAATCTCCAAACACGGAAAGGTTTCTTCACAGTAAGAGCTGTGAAAATGTGGAATAGATTCCCTCAGTTGGCTCTGCCAAGCTCAGTGGATTGCTTTAAAAAAGTCCTGGATTCTTTCTTGGATACACAGAATATAACTGGATATAACATTTATAGGTAAAGTTGATCCAGGGAATATCCGATTGCCTCTCGGGGGGGATCAGGAAGGAATTTTTTTTCCCCAGCAGGAGCAAATTGGATCATGCTTTGCTGGGTTTTTTGCCTTCCTCTGGATTAACTGTGGGTGTAGGATTATAACTTTTTTTTTTTTTAATGGTTGAACTGGATGGACTTTTGTCTTTTTTCAGCCAGACTAACTATGTAACTGCTGAGAGAAGAACACTGATTATTCCCTCCCCCCCCCTTCATAATCAGATCCTTACTGTTGACGCCTCTATTTTGTCCTATACTGCAATCTCAGGGTGCTGTTCTATTACAGTTCACCAAACACCCCTGTAGATAATGAGTGTTTGCATTGTATAGTGAAAGGAAAACAGTACTACATCATTACTGCCTGCAGGATATAACCACCATCATTAGTGCACCAACGGTCACCTACAGGGCCTCAACATTAGCCGGCAATAATCTATCTCTTAGAGACTGCCTCTCTAGCTCAATTTCAATCCCTTCTTTGTGGTTGTTTATGCTGTTTGACTCTAATTAAATTTCGTGACCAGTCTAGGCCTAGAACAGCCACCATTAGGACACACTGTTACCTGCTCAGAGTGCTGAATTGTGAAGTGGATAATAGGCTTTGGCTTACATCTGTCTAACAAACATCTTGACAATGAATATGTTCACTTTCTCTCATGTTTTTTTTTTTGTCTCACGCAAGATAACTGGGGTACAGATGTTAACCACTTCCCACCAGCGGTATGCATATATGTGGCCTCTCAGTGGGTGGGGTTTAATGTTGAGAGGCCGCATATATGTGGCTCTATTTAAACAATTTTCTGGGCTGAGAGCGTGCAGGGACTTGAAAGCTCCCGATTCTCACTTGCGATTGGGAGCTTTCCAATCATGTGACTGTGACTTCCAATTTCCGTTTTTATTCTGTTATCTAATAGCCTGGTGTGTCAGTGGGGCTGAGGCCTGTAAAAGTTGGAGGCAGAGATCAGAAAACCCATTTTTACCAGTGGCTCCTTCGGGGTGGTGCTTCACATGTCTGAGCACAACTGTCTGCAACACAGATAAGAGGGTTTATCTGAGAGAAAAGAAGATCTATCGTGCAGGATGGGCATCAGTACAAGGAGGTGACTATTACCAACCTATAATGTCACTCATCTCTCACCCTACTCTGGACCAATCAGTGCAAAGCAGAGATAACAGAAGAGTATATTGTGTCTCACCTGTGCTGATCTCTGTAGGAGTGTCCTCCTCTTTGAATGTCCTCGTCATTCCAGCCTCCTCCGTATATTGCTGATCATCCCTCACATACGTCTCTTCTACTTCACCCTCAACTTTCATCTTCATCAGATCTTCACCCTAAACCAACAGAATGGCAGAAAATAACATCTGTAATATAGAAGGATTTATGATGTGAGATCACATAGAAAATATCATCTTGTAGAGTCCACACATCGTCTCCACATGTCAGAGAGTGTTCCATCACTTTATGTTCCAGACCCTCAACTCCACCGACCTGATGATGGTGAGGGATGGTGTGACCTTCCTGTGTGGAATCCTGGGAATACAGAGGACGGGGACATCTCTCTGGTGGGTTTCTATTATTAGGTGACTCCATCATATTGTCCTTGTAGAGATCCTTGTGTCCTTCAAAAAGCTCCTCCATGACTCCATACTTCTCATCCTCCTCTTTATACTCTTCTATAACTATAATATTATAATCCCCGAGGTTTCCACTCTGAATAAATCATAAACATCCATTGTAACTAACATGCTGTGTATAAATAATAACTACCAATAATTGCCAAACATCTACCTGATGTTGAGGGATGGTGTGATCTTCCTGTGTGGAATCCCAGGAATACAGAGGACGGGGACATCTCTCTGGTGGGTTTCTGTAGCTGGATGACTCAACCATGTTGTCTGGGTAGAGATCTGTGTGCCTTTTTTGAGACTCTGACTCCTCCATCACCTCATCCTCTTCTTTTATCTCTTTTTTAACCTCAACTTTAGAATTTCTCAGGTTTCCATCCTAAATATAAAATAAAAATGACATCAATGGTAACAATGCAGATAATGTACAGATCCTAATGATACTATCAGTGATTGTTCCTCATCTACCTGATGATGGTGAGGGATGGTGTGACCATCCTGTGTGAAATCCTGGGAACACAGAGGACGGGGACATTTCTCTGGGGGACTTCTGTAGCTGGATGACTCCACCATGGTGTCCTGGTACAGATCTTTGTGTCGTTTTAGAAACTCTGACCCCTCCATCACACCATCCTCATCCTCCTTTTTTACCTCTTTTTTTAATATTGACATGTGTGGAATCCCGGGAATACAGAGGACGAGGACATCTCTCTGGTGGGTTCCCATGACTGGATCCATCTGTAGGAAACACACACACTGACTGAATCCATTGTTTCTATGTGTTTATCAGATGATGGGGGATCTAGGTGGATCCTCCGTACTGCTCTCTCCTTTACAATAAAGTCTCCTCTTACCCGGTGATGTGAGGGGCGGCTGATTGTCCATCATGACGTCCTTGTAGAGATCCTTGTGTCCTTCTAAATACTCCCACTCCTCCATGGAGAAATAGACAGTGACACCCTGACACCTTATAGGAACCTGACACACACAATGATACAGTCACCATCCAGACACATCCCTTGTCTGTTACTGGAGAATGTCCCAGAATTCCCGGCACCGCTCACCTCTCCTGTCAGCAGCTCAGTGATCTCTCTGGTGACTTCTAGAATCTTCTTCTTCTTTCTCTCTTCTATCAGGGAGGGAGGTGGAGGCGATGTGATGATCTCAAGACTTCACAGAGGGAAATTCTAGATTTGAACATGAATAATAAAATGAGATGATATTCCCAGAATCCTCCTCACCTCTCAGGTCTCCATTTTTATTAAAGCCCAACATCAGGTTGAGGTATAATTTACGCATAAAGTCCCTCACCCCCCACACTATATAGGCTACAAGCTTGTTGCTGACATCATTATATACAACAAAGGACCATCAGTCCTGCTTTGCACATGAGGATGCTAAGGGTCCACCCACATCCTAAGAGCATCATACAATGTTCTGACTCTGGATGGAGGGATATTAGAAAAAGCAGATGTGACGTTAGTGTAGTGACTATGGGTGGAAGAACAATGGGAAGAGAAGTGTGGTGTCCATTGTAGGGTTATTGTGATCTTATTGAATGGGACCACTTTGGATTGAGGGATATTGGCAGGAAACGCTCTGAGGGTAATGTAGGGTCATTTTGCATTTGATGTCATAGAATGTGCAGGCTCTGGGTGGAGGAACATTGGGAGCAGGAGCTGTGAGGTCAGTGTGATGCCATAGGATTCTCTGACTCTGGAGGGACATTGGGAGCAGGAGCTGTGAGGTCAGTGTGATGCCATAGGATTCTCTGACTCTCTGGAGGGACATTGGGAGGAGGAGCTGTGAGGTCAGTGTGATGTCATAGGATTCTCTGACTCTGGTTGGAGGGACATTGGGAGGAGGAGCTGTGAGGTCAGTGTGATGTCATAGAATTCTCTGACTCTGGTTGGAGGGACATTGGGAGGAGGAGCTGTGAGGTCAGTGTGATATCATAGGATTCTCTGACTCTGGATGGAGGGACATTGGGAGGAGGAGCTGTGAGGTCAGTGTGATGTCATAGGATTCTCTGACTCTGGATGGAGGGACATTGGGGGGAGGAGCTGTGAGGTCAGTGTGATATCATAGGATTCTCTGACTCTGGATGGAGGGACATTGGGGGGAGGAGCTGTGAGGTCAGTGTGATATCATAGGATTCTCTGACTCTGGATGGAGGGACATTGGGAAGAGGAGCTGTAAGGTCAGTGTGATGTCATAGGATTCTGGTTGACTCTGGATGGAGGGACATTTTCACTTCTTTCCTCCTATCCTACCCCAGTGGAGAGGGGCAAACAAAGATGCTGTGCACCTCGTCCTTATTAACCAATGATGTCAGCAGTTGTTAGGACACTGGCGGCTAGAAGGTTGTAACGGTGCACAATAAAAATCTGTGGCTTTGTGTAGTGTCTCAGCCCTATGTCCCTAAGGAGGTAAACGTTTTGACCTTGAAGGGGTTAATCTGGGTTCCCACACTATATATGTGTGTATCATCATCTGCTGGAGATAAAAGACGTCACAGTGACTATGGAGGAAGAGGACGGACGTGTGACTATGGAGGAAGACACGGACGTGACTATGGAGGAAGGAGGACGGACGTGACTATTATTATTATTATTATACAGTATTTATAAAGCGCCAATAGTTCGCTCAGCGCTGTACATTACAAAGGGGACAGAACATGTGACAGAACAATACCAATACAATGCAAAACATGAGGGGATCGAGGGCCCTGCTCTTTCAAGCTTACAATCTAGAAGGGACGGGATGGTGGTACAGGAGGAGATAGCTGTGGGGGATGGAGTGGTAGGAAGAGTGGAGGAGGTCGGCAAGTTAGCAAGGGGTGGGGTAGGCTTCCCTGAAGAGATGTGTTTTCAGGATGCCCTAAAGGAGAGGAGAGTAGGTGATAATCTGATGGGTTGGGGCAGGGAGTTCCAGAGGATGGGTGACACCTTGGAGAAGTCCTGGAGGCGGGCATGGGAGGAGGAGACAAGGGAACTAGAGAGGAAGAGGACAAACATGACTATGGAGGGAGAGGACAAACGTTACTATGGAGGAAGAGGACAAACATGACTATGGAGGAAGAGGACAAACGTGACTATGGAGGAAGAGGACAAACGTGACTATGGAGGAAGAGGACAAACGTGACTATGGAGGAAGAGGACAAACGTGACTATGGAGGAAGAGGACGGACGTGAACTATGGAAGAAGAGGACGGACGTGAATATGGAGGAAGAGGACGGACAGGACTATGGAGGAAGAAGACGGACGTGACCTATGGAGGAAGAGGACGGACGTGACTATGGGGGATGAGGACAGACAGACATGATGGGGGGTTACTGGGTGTAATAGGAAATAACATCTTATTACCTCCTCTGCTGCCACTTCCACCAATGTCTCCTCTCTACTTCCTCCCACCTCACCTCTCACCCGGAACTTCCTTTCTATACCTTACATCACTTCCTGTCTTCCATAGAGACTTCCTGTCTGGGTAGAAGTGAGATCACCATCTTGTGGAGCTCAGAAGAACTGCAGCCCCGAGAAACATTTGCAGGACAGTCTTGGTATGTTTGCTACTTTTCCATTGTGTCCTCATCCCTCAGGTTCCAGGACTCTGTGGGGAGCAGCAGTGAGGTGATGACGGCTGGAACACTCTCCGGGGTTCCATCACCAGGCACTGCAATGACACCAGACTGTTGGGAGCCGTCATCTCCTCTCTGACAGTGAAAGTAGAACTCCGACATCAGCAGAGAGGCAGCGGGAGGGTGGGATCAGGTAAGTACCACCACTGACCACCAATGCCGGGCTGGGGGTACACTTATGTTCTCACCGACACCAACAATGGGATTGATTCTCTCCCACTGGCACCCTCAATGGGACTTTATTTTACCTTTCACCAATATAAAAAGTGGGATTTATTTTTCTCCTGTAGAACTTTGTGTCTGTAGCTACCATAGAGACCTCCTGGGTTGGCAGCTCCTGGATATCAGTGAGATCACAAACTTGTGAAGGGACTGCAGCCCCAAGAAATGTTTTTATACTGTGAACACGGCCACATGCTACATGAGATCCTTGTTCACCGCGACCGTGGGTTCAGTCTAAATCCTGGAGATTCAAAAGTCACAATCCCAACCATTTTTTTTGCACAGATTTGCCTGGGACAATATTTTTGTAACCATAATATACTGCATTCTAAGGGTCTGGTATGTATTTTTGGGGTGGGGTGCATATTTCTTAAATTTGCTCTAGGATGTGCTACAGTAAAACTGACATTTACAAAGGAAAAAAAATGACAGTTTAGGCAAATGACATTTAATTGCTGACTTCTTAAAAAAAAAAAAAAAAAGCACACAGACCCCTCCAAACGCACCAGAGGTCTTCCAAAATACATATCAGACTGTTGGAGGGGTCTGTGTGCTTTTTTTTAACCACTTAAGGACCGCCCACCTGCAATGTTCTGTAGATAGCAGAACCTGTACATGGCTGGCCTCCTCTGGGTACATGGCATGCGCACACGCCCACTGACTCCATCTGTGATTGTCATCAGGTCCCGGCCCATGATTCATGGCCAGGACCTTCTGATCAGCTGTGTCCAATGACAGCCCGGGGGCCCTGTGTTAGCAATCAACACAGAGCTCTGAGCAGAGGGAACAATTTCTCTGTTTCTTAGCCCTGCAAAGCAAGGAGACGCAGCAAAGAGATTTTTATTA